ATGCCCTTTGTAATAAAGTTTAATTCTGCTCTCGGACTCCTTGGTGTGAGTAGTGGGGCTCGTGCAACAACAAGCACCTCAAGTATTGTCCAGTCAAGTTTTGAATATATCCAAGGATGGAATTTCCGCAACTTTCTTGGATCAGACCTTCTGATGTTTGACCACTTTCATTGTGGAAAATTTTCATAACATCTAACTGGTGTGTTCTTTATTGCAGTTTCAGTTGGGATTTTTTTGTCCTGTCACTGTGCATCCCTGAAAAGAAGCTGGCTTTATGTTCTGTAATGATCACCTGTTAGATACCTGGAGGCACAGATTAGATTTCTTTTGAGCTGCTTGTCTTCTGCATGCTGAACAAATTCAAACTCTATAGCCTGTCCTCATATGAGTGTGTTGATTGCTGGCCTCTAGACTTGCTGAGTTATTCTGTTATTGCTGAGTGATTAATATGACAGATTAAATTCAGTTTATGTATGTGTCTCATGGGGAGAAATGTAATCCAAATAAGTGCTAAAAAAAAAAAAAGGCGTCTACCTCTTTAGACATCATTGCTATTTGAAGGAAAATAAGGTCATGGATAGTTTTTCTAAACGTATTTACTCTGAACCAAAAAAAAAAACTAAAAAGAAAAAAGAAAGGATAATTACAACATGGAGACTGGAAAAAAATTATTTTAGCATAGAAATTTATTGTTTGTCCTGTATTAAATGCTGTATGCAGTTCTGGCTACCCTGTCTCAGAAAAAGTATGATACACTCAATCAGACTCAATATGAAGAGGCAAGAGGGAAGAGTACCTCTTCTATAAAAAGACAGACTGAATCAAAATGTTGCTTCATTTTGGAGAAGAAATTAGTATGAACAGATCTGATTTAGGCATATAAAATCATAGGTTTCAAGAGGAATTTTGAGCAGGGATGATTAATTCATATTTCTCACGGTAGGGGAATTAAACTATGAGTAAGTTCAAAACAAGGGGGGTTTAATGTGTTGCTTGTGCTTGAGCATGTTCTGTAACTGATTACAATAAAAGCAGTGAAGCCAAAGTAATACTGATGGAACTAAATGTTCTTAAAACTTATTGCTGGATGTTGGGAGAACATAGCCCGTGTTCTTTGTCTAAGTACTTTGTGGTGATCAGAAATAGGATACTGGGCTAAATCAGTCTTCGATCTACACAGTATTGCAGTTATTTTGTTCTTAAAAATAAACCTCATGTAAATGTGATTATATGGGCAGGAAATTATTAATATTAGCTGGAGATGAGCGAACTGGCTCCAGAAATAGCTTTCAACAACCACTTTTGTTTCCTCCAGAACAGGATCTCTCAAATTCTTGAACTATTTGTTTATTCTGAAAAGAATTACACGATTTGAGGAACTAATTTTTAGCTTCTAGTGCCTCAAGGAATGTTTAAGTCCTTAAAGTAGGAATAGCTTTTCTTCTATGGCAATCAGAATGTTTTGTGTATGAATATGAATGCAGTTGTATGTAGCAATTAAGAGCTGTATTAGTATCTGAATTATCAGCTCTGGAATATAGCCAGCTTGTGGCCAGGAAAGCAGCCAATAGCCTAGAGGAGGAATGCTTTAATTATTATGTAATAGCTGCTCTAGAGAGCTCTCCGTGTTCTGTCCAGCTGCATTTGTAATTTTTTTGTATTGTTTGGGACAGTTGTAATTTCTATTTAAAAAAATGTGGAAGACAACTCATTGTACATTTTTCATACTGCATAGAAAGTGTAAGACTGCTGGAAAGCTTACTTGAACAAAGCAAAATTGAAACTTACTTGATCTATTGAATATACTTGATAGCCATCAACTTCTTCATAGGGTGAGAATATTGCAGCAAGAGTTACTTGCCTTAAGGAAATTAAAGATTTATGCATGTGCTGTTTTGTTTATATCTTAATTATTTTTGATGCTAGGTTTCTTCATAAAAGATGAATATGGTACATTTTCTTGAACTATGGATACATGTGAAGTTTAACTTCAGGAACATTTTATCCAATAAATAATAAAGCTGTTCATACAAGACATGCCAACAATATCTATTATGTTTCTGTAGACCACAAGAGCCTCGCATTAGCTTGACATTGTAATTTAATGACTCCAGTTTTCATTAGGTAGATAAGTGGTATAGTATGGCTTCCATTTCTTTAGTGGGACTTCTTTGCACATAACCAGTCTGTTCTGAAATGCTTCAGATAGGGCCATTGTTCTTCCTGTTAACTGTCTGTTGTGTTGAAAACCAGTGGAAACCTTTCTTCTCTTTTATGCTTTGCCCTGTCATTGTTGTAACAAAAAAAAAGAGAGAATCAAGGGATAACAAAGGCATACTTCTTTCATTAGTACCTGGAAGCACGAAGAGCAAAATCAGCACATTGTTAACTCAGTGTAACTTGTGCTGAATGGCTTCACTTCAAGCTTTTATATTCCAATTATTTTATTAGCTGTGTAAACCATTAAAAACACAGTAAACTTGATTTCAGTAAGGAGAATGCCAATTAAATCACAGCCTGTAGCTCTGAGGTAATTTAGTCTGTTATTTCATGCAAGTAACAGATGCCCACTTTCTTTGCCTGTGTTCATGAATAGAGTGCGTGTACCTGTCCATGTGCAATGGGATTCTCAAAAGAAAGTAATCTCTGGTGGGCTTGTCTAGTGCCAGTTCCCTTTGTGTCTTCTTGTACCTAGGCAGGGAGTGTGACAGGAGGTTCAGCCATTTCATGGTACCTTCATACCACATGAAACTACTGTTGACAGTGAGTCTTGTGATGCCCACTTCTCAAGATTTAGCTGCCTTTTCTCTTGGCCTTGCAGATACCCCCAGGTATCTGGGTACCCCCATGTACTTTGTTTCTTAGTGCTGCCCTGCTAATCACGCAGAGATGCTGAGGACTGTTCATGGTGGTGTAGCTACCGTTTATTTGGGAGGATGACAAGAAGACATGGACATTCCTAGTGTTTGCAGTTCCCTTTTGTACAGTAAAACTGCAGGCTCACTCTGGGAAAGATAAGTAAAGAGGAGTCTTGTAGAAGTTGGACTGCTTGGAAGCTTTGTAACTGGCTGGTCTCCAGGCTATATGAGAGCATCTGTTCTCTCTGACTCCTGCTTACAAATTGTAGTTGGTGTAATGTTGTCTTGTACCATCAGTAACCACATAGGCTGTAAAATGGGGCAGATCTTCAAGTCGTCTCCTGCAACACCCAAGGTGCATTCAAGCCTTCCTTAACGGCAGAGGAAGAGAAAGTACAGACCTTTCATAAATTCAGTCTTTGCCTTTCAGTCGCTGTCACAGGCCTTGTTCCTCTGAGTCCTTTGTGCTCTCCCTTCATACTGCTTGAGTGTTTGATGCAGAAGGGCAAGGCTGACAGAGTTTCCTGGGTTAGTCGTACCCAGGAAACACAGAAAATGCCCATGAAAGTACCTCACTCTTCAGACTGTGCCTTGAAACACATTTATCACATGCTCAAAAAACATGCCCAATAACACCACCCTCCCACCCCAAACAGTTATGTCATGGTTCACTGAGATCACTGTTTGCCCTAAAATAAAGGTTTTGTTTCTTGTACTAATTTCTTGTTTTCTCTAGACATCTGTTCTCTTGTCTTTCATTTACATTGTAAATTCTTGGAAGAAACAATTTTTTTGTTTGCTGGTTTGTTTTTCTGTCTTTAGTGCCTTGCACAGTGGGGTCTTCATCAATGTGTCCAGCTCACTGGCACTTTAACAACACATCTTCTAAGCCTCAGTATTGGTAGATATACTTGCAAATATTCCTCGTCAGGTCTTGGGGTTATATATGTTTTTCCAGATAGTTTTATTTGCCCTTATAATTGAATCACGATTGTTTATCCAACTGTGTCTTTAGGAAAGATATTGTAAAAAAAATCCCAGTTACACAGATTTATATCAATTCCAGGTTGAAAGAGGTCTTATGTTTTCTGTACCGTTAAAAAAGAAGTTAAAGTGTTTTTTTTTCCCCCAATGTCTCTTGCATCAGCAGATTTTTCTACTTTTTGTTCAGACCATTTTTTCCCCAAAATAGATGGGGATATTTGCAATACATGGTAACATATATGCCAGATATATTAGTTGTAACTATTGTGCTATGGCAGTCTGATTGACCTTTATGTCCTGGAAGAACTATTAAGTGTAAGATCAGTAATGCCTGTTTCAAAGATTGTTAGATTATAAGTGGGAAGTGATGTGGTCCTCAACACCCATATGAAGTAAAGCAGAAAGCTGACTTTTAATTAAAAATTAAACAAATTATGTTCTACGTAAGCTATTTGAAGATATTCTACCTAAGCTATTTGAAGTAAAAAGCACTGATGACTGAAACTATAGTGGACTCATCTGAATTGAATCTTAATGATTTAAAGACTCATTTATAACCAAGTACAGTTTTAATGAGGTCTGTAAAGCTGGAGAAGTATCAGATGTGGTGACATTGTTCCATCATATATGGAAATGGTTTTACTACACTGGTTTGTTTAGTATAAAGTAAAATCAAATCCCTAATGTGTATATTACAGTATAAAAGTCTGTTGTTGTTTACTCGTTATTGATGTTCAATATGATCTAGAACTAGTAATTAATTTAAAAATTATTTTTTTCAGCAAACCTACCTATTTAAAGTCAATAAAGTCTAGAATTAGGTCAAATGAATTGAAGTCAGAATGGATATGAAGCCTCAAAGGTATTTTTAATGACTTAGTCATCAGACTGAATATTAGGTTATTTACTAGAGGAATGTTTCTGTGTTTTAAAAAAAAAGGTAGAAGTAATAGCTACAAAAAAGTTAAATGCATTCTTTGAGCTGATAAAATCTAAATTAGTTGATTATGTAAATTGTTAGGCTTTTTTTTACCATGTTAGGTAAATATATTTAAAAATGCATTTAAATGTTTTTAAAATAAATACTAGTTGAAAGCTGAAATCTCTTGGTCTTCTAAAATTTTTTTTTGTTTTTTTGTTTCTTTTTTAATTTTGCAGCGTGGGTGAACTCTCTTTCTATGGGGATGGTCTTCTTCTGTTCTCCAATAGTCAGCATATTCACAGACTTATTTGGTTGTCGAAAAGTTGCTGTTGTTGGAGCTGCAGTAGGGCTTGCTGGACTCCTTGCAAGTTCTTTTGTAAGGTAAAAAAATTAAATTCTTAACTTTCAAAGTATTTTATCAGTTTTACAGTGTAGAGGTAATGCTGATTCTAGCAACAGAATATGAAGGAGTAAACAAAGTGCTACTTTATATTATCTGTTAAAGTAGAAAACTTGTTTTGTTTTTTGTTTTGTCTTTCAAACTATGACTTGTGAACGTTCAACTTCAAAAGTAATTTAAAAAATACAATAGAATGTCGTAACAGCACTTGCTATTTAACAGGAGCCACTATGTATAAATGTATCACCAACAAGGCTATTGCTATAAGATAATAGCATTGTCCTGAATAAACTTGTTATATGTTTGCTTAATGTATGTTGTGTTTTAGCAGGTACATAAGCATTGCTGCTGTCTTCCCTCCCTGCCCTGTCCCCTCAATTTGCTTTTAAAACAGTTTTAATGTTGATAAATATACAGTAGGGCCTCCAGGAAAGTTTTCATGTTCTAATAGAATTTGTTGTTTTCGTCTGTTTTTAGTGATTCAATTGCCAAACATGGAGATAGCAAAAACCTTAGTGTAATGATATATACTTAAGCCTTATTTTCTTTCTTAAGAAAATCTCTGGTTTTTTTATGTTACTGAAAAAAACTTTGAGTGGGTTTTTTTTCTCCAGTTTACTATTTTTGTATGTTTCTATAACTTCTGCAGAATAAATCCTAAGAAATTCAAGAGTGACAGATTTGTTGGACGTGCCCAGTGGAAGATGAGGAAACAGGAAGTTTACTTATTCTAGTTATCAACAGAAATTGGTTAGTGAAGATAGGCTAAGAAGCAGCAGGAAAATAAGCCAGTTATCTCTAGTTCTCAGACTGCTGTTTTTTCCCTCCACCCTTGTCAGAATAAGTAGAGGAACAATCAAGAGCTACATTTGGAAGAATTTCCTACATAGATGAAAATATATTTGTACAGATAAGCTCGTGAAAATGTCTCTTCTATGCTTGTCCTCTGAACCAGATAGATGTGAGCTGGCTGTGATGTGGATGGATGACTGTCCATGCTATGTGGCACTGTGCCTGATCTATTATTACATCTAGCTTGGACATATATCCCCTAATGTGAAAACATGTCCACAAATTGACAGGAAGAGAAGGCAAATATTTCTGTTTTAGATACTGAGACTAATGTTTATATTTATTCTTGGATTAACCTGTATTTGTAGGAAAAATAAAGTTTGTTTTCTTGTTACTTGAGCTAGTTTCCAATTTTTATTTTATTTTTTGGTTAATCGAAGTGCAAATATTTTGCTTAATTCATTTTATTAAAGCAAACAAACAAAACCCCCACTTCCTGATATGTTTTAAGAAGCTACTTACTAAAGGTGAGGTAAAAACTAAAAGATTCATCTTGGAAAAGTCTTTCTTCTTCCTTGCTTCCTAATGGTATGTTAAGTGTTGTCCGATATCCAGTGGAACAAAGGCAAAGAAGAGGCATGCGAGAGGAATTTGTTTTGTAAAGGCTTTAAAAATATTTTAGCTTAATTGAATTCTGTTTTGAAGAGCCTTTTAAGAGCGAATTCTTCTAAGAGTACGTGCCAGGTTGCTGTGCATACTTGATGTTTCATTATGTTACTTACACTAAAATGATTTATGACTACGATGTTATCAGTTAATTGAAGGAGTATAGTTCAGATATAGAAGTCCGTGTTCTAAAAGTAAAGTATTGTAAAGTAGATAAATGGAAATATGATTTACTGCTTTTTCTAATTTCTTAATATAAATTTTATCTCTTAGGAAGTTGAGATGTCAGAGTGTTTATAAAGTAGGACAATATTTTAAATATGTATGTTGTGCTGCAGACTCTTTGAATGAATCTACAGATTGAAGCACAAGTTCTTTGCCCTTACTGTATTATATTCCTCCTCTCATTTTATAATGTCTGTTTTTATTTTTCCTGGTTATTTTTGCTTGATAAGGGTAAAAAAATAAGTCTTTCTCCCATATGTTGTTTCCGCTGGCTTACGCTGTGTTTCAGAAATTGATAGTTTAATATAGAAAGTGACAATATTATATTATACAAATATTTTTCTCTGTAATACGGTAAACCAGAGTTCCTGGTGTCAGACCTTTATTAGTCAAATACTATTTTCTAAGAATTTCTTCAAATGTATGGGAAGCTTGTGGACTGTATTTTTCCATAGAGGGGTGCTGTAGAAGTGCTTTCCTGTGATGGAAAGCACTACATAAAGCATTCATACTCCCCGAAAAAATTAATATATGGTCTAACAGATTAAACTTTTTATAACTGTTTGTTAGAACCACTTTAAAAGTGGGTGTTAGCTGATAAAAAAAGAGATGATAGTTCATTGAAAACATAATATTAAAAATAATTGTATAAACCATCATGTGCTGCCTCAGAAATCTTGTATAAAAATTTCTCCTCCATCATCTAAATGTAAATAAATGTTTCCTTTGACTTTATTAATACTACAAAACTAATTTAATTAGTTATACTGATACTGTTGCTTCATGTTATGTTTGTTGATTGAAAAGCTGTCATGTATATAGTGGGTGAACATGAGCATCCACTATCTTAAAAAACACTAGTGATTTTTTCTTTTTTTTTTTTTCTTTTGGTACAGCACCATTGAACCTCTATATTTCACCTACGGAATCTTGTTTGCCTGTGGCTGCTCCTTTGCGTACCAGCCGTCCTTGGTCATTCTTGGGCACTATTTCAAGAAGCGCCTGGGACTAGTGAATGGCATCGTCACTGCAGGCAGCAGTTTGTTCACAGTGTCACTGCCCTTCCTCTTGAGAGTTTTGCTCGATTCTGTCAACCTGTTCAACACCTTGCGGGTCCTGTGCGTCCTTATGTTTATTCTGTTCCTGGCTGGATTTACTTATAAACCCCTTGTTTCCGACACAAAAGACAAGGCGGGAGGAAAGAAGGGGAAGTTCAAATTTCCCCCTGGAAAAAAGATTTGCAATTTCTCCGTTTTCAAAGTTCTCAGTTACCGAATCTGGGCTTTTGGGATCCCAGTTGCCCTTTTTGGATATTTTGTGCCTTATGTTCACTTGGTAAGTGCACATTTCTTCCAACATATGACATGCTTGAAACTACAGCTATTTGCTTTTGTGTTACAGACTAAGAAAGCAGTTGCTGGTAGGAAGCAAGATTTAAACTGCAAGTTGTGTTTGGGAGAAATGAAAAATTAACTTGGTTGTTGTCTGGTTGAAAGAGGGCTTTAATCAGGACTGTTAGTTAAGCCAGTTAAAATTTTTGTTCTTTGTCCTCGGTTCTAAAGTTTAGAATACTTCAACCATGAAAAGAGACATTTGAAAAATATTCTGTGCTGTTCCAAAGAGAATTTTTCAGTTTGGTACTCAGTTGCATACATTGCCAATGACACTTGTGTGTTTTAGAGGAAGTGTGAAAGGAGTAGAAAACAGAAAATGGGTAAAAATTGTAATTTTTGTTCCTTTATATTGAGGTATGTTAAAGAATTGATTTTTTTAGGATGCATTTTATTCACCATTTTTCAGCTTTATTAAAAGCAAAATACTTGTATTTTTCTGTCTCTCAAGCTTTAGCTTTGTGGTTTACTACTATAGCAGTAATATAACTGATCCTCTTACCTGGTCCCTACTAGCTGCTAGCTGAGCTGTGTTTTACTGCTGTCTACAGTGACTGACAGAGCTTTGGCTTCTGATGATGGAGAAGCTGTCAGTCAGCCATCATTTCTTGTACATGTGCTAGAGTTAATTTTTTTCCCTAGCAGATTTTTTTCTGTAGTACGCTGTTAAACTACAAAATTTAGATGCAACTGGGAGGTACATTGTATCTGACAGGCACTCATTACACTGCTGAAATGGTGAATTATTTTTTAATGGCTTGCTGGTGGCGCTGTCTAAACTGAAGTGGTGTAAACCAAAAGGCTTAAAAGGGACAGATGGAGGGGGGGAAGAGCCCACGACCTGCAGTGAGATGCTCTATTTAGACCATTACACATCCTTACATTCAAGAGTATTTGATTGGACTAGTAGAAGTAGTATGCACTGTGAAAACAGAAGAATCATTTTAATATTTGTTATTCACCCATGATAGAACATTAAGATTAATGATAATAAATACCTTTTAATTCTGTCAAAAAATTTTCAATGACTTAAAAGCCCAGGGGGTTTTATGCAATATAACAGATGGTGTCACATCTTTCTGGTAATACATTGGTTAGATTACTGACTCTGCATCAGATACCTATTTTCAAAATTACCTTGTGTTGGGGGCTAGTTTGTTTTTGAGCAGCTGTACACTGAATTTTATTAGTGGCTAGTTCTTGTTACTTAGTTTTTAATCATGTAAATCTTACTATTTAATACTTTGAACTAGGCTGTTTCAAAGGACCGTACATGACTAAGCTGTTGTGACATCTTATGCCATTTCCTCATAAGCTTCATAGCGATGTTTTGAAATAAGTCTTCAGAGGAGTTGGTGGTGTAGAGAAAGCTATTGGTCAAATCCTAAATGATTGTTAACTCATGCAGAGAATTGAAGAGTAAGGCTATACAAGCAGTCAAACAGAGCTTCTAAAATACATTTATTGAACAAAAAGCTTGTAAGTTTTTACCAAGATGCTTGTAGAAATGCTTGTAGTTTATAGGCTGGACTAAAGGTGCTGGTTGACTTGTAGAGGACAAAGTTCTTTATCTTTTTTTTATATTATAGTATACATTTTTTCTTTTTATAGGGTGCTTTCACTCCTGTTGAATGAGGATAATACTTTTAACGGAAAGAGGTGTTTATTTTTATGGAAACATGAATAAGTGAAGTGACACTTATTGCTGGTGGGCAATGATGTATCCTGGGGGGACTAAAACCTTAGAAAGTCCATGTGGATCTATATTTGAGACAGTGAATAAATCAGTGTTCATGAAGGAACAGTATGGATTCTGCCTTCAACAGATACTTCAACTCAAGTAGATAGCTCTGGACATTTTTTATCCTAGTTTTGTCTGCTTCTGATAAACCCCCCACATTTTATGGAATTCCAGAAGTACATAGAAGTATGCACTTATAAATAAATCAAGGGCTATAAGAAAAAATAAGGGGTTTTTTATGTCTACTAAACCACAGAGTGCTTACCTGATCTTTTGAACATGAAAGTTACTATTGTCTCATTGCTGCAATTTTAAAAATGCAGTAAACAATACTGGAAAAGGGATATGATCCTTAGGTGAGTGACAGCTTTTGTTACGTTAAAATTCTTGAATTTTTCCCACTGTTGGGGTTGGCCAACAGCAGCCAGACTGCTAGAATGCTGGTTGCAAGCACCTTAAGAAATAAACACTTATACAAATGAACCTGGCTGCCTACAGCTCTCCTCTTAGACCTCAGAACTGGCTTCTCTACTTAACCAAGTCGCATTTTTCCCACCTGGAAGGATAGTTTCAGCCGGAATGGCTGCTCTTGACCATGTGATGGAGTGCAGGTGCCACAGGCCCTATGGATTGGGGTCCTTGTGTGTCACCCCCCAGGCCCATGGTGGCTGGAGGTCACAGATTCGGTGTGCTCGAGTCACTGCACATCAGCTGCTGAATGCCAGCTTGGCACAGCTGAGGAGCTCCTGAGGGTGCAGGCAGGGTCTCCATTTGCTTCAGGGCCAGCCCTGATTTCTGTTCATATCTCTTGCATTTCCTGAAGTATATTGGAAAGGAGAACACGCACTGTGAAACTTGTAGTGCGAAAGAAGTGAAAACTCATTTTGGGCTTTGGAATAATAGAATTGGCCAAGTATTTGCAATTTCAACTATCTGCACTGTATTTGCTTCATCAAGTAAAAACTGGAGAAATAACCTGCTTATGAAGTGGGCTCTAACTAAAACACATTGATTATATGGCAAGCTAGATAGTATTCATGTCAAGGAGCTGGCAAGTATTACCAGTCCCTGACTGGTAGATATCAGCTGCATGTGAAATAGGCATCATATTCCTTTTGGCTCTTGCAAGGGAGAACCAAAAGGGAAGGCTTTTCTTATCCCAGTTTAATTGGTGTCAAATTCCATTAATAGGTGTTCCATTACATGTCACTTGGAAATTGGGTTGAGATAAACACTATAAATAAGTTTTGACTTAATTTTATTCTATACTTTCAGCATTAATTCAGATTTTTGAAGAACAAACTGATAAGTCAGAAGATTACTAGATCAAATAGTTATTATTCCTCTCAATTTTAAAATCAGTCTAAACTGCAGTGATTGAGAGTGGGGTTTTTTTGATGACTCTCTAAAATAGGCAAATATTTTGATGACCCTCTAAGATTGACAAAGAAAATCCTAGTTTAGTCCATTCAAGTTTAAATAGTGACTTCACAACAGCAATCTGCCAGATCAGGTGAAAACACTTTCCAAGTGTTTTTAGTAAGGACTATCTTACAAGGAAATTATTAAGTACATTTGAAAGAAAGCGTACCTACTCTCTGTGTCACTTGTCCTGTGCTTGTTTTGATAATAGAGAACTTCTGTTTTTCAGCAGTCAGTCTGATGTTGAAGGGTTTAGTGTTGTTCTTTTACCCTTAGAAAATATTTACTTAATCAGAATCATGCATCCTTAATTCTTATGAGCTTGTTAGGTCAATTCCATTAAACTTTGATACAAAGTCATGTGCCAGGTAGCTTAAAAGATATGTTGTTGCTTTTTGTACTTTATTTAGCCACATTGAAAAGAAATACTGCTTAAAAAGAAATACTGTTGCTGCCTAGTCTTTTCTAAGCAGTGGCCAAGGTCACTACCAATTTTCAGTATGCATTTAGGACAATATTAATTATGACACGCTTTCAAAAGAAGGGGCTGAGTATTGTGTTTTGTTTTTAATGCAGTGTTTCAGTTCTGTAGTAATTTGTCTTGGGACAAATATAGTTTAATTTAGCAGTTACTTTTATTAAATGCCTCTTGCTAATAAGGTAGCAAATACCTTATTAATACCTTATTAATACCTTATTAATAAGGTAGGCCCTGCCTTATTTATAGTGTCTTACACCTTGCAGGATGAAAAACTGAATTTAACAACTGAATAGTTGAACAAAATATTGCATATATTTCTTATGTGTTTTACTTTTTTTTAAAAAAGCAGCTAGATTGTAGATAATGCAACAGAAGTATGTATTGATAAAGTTTACCTTTCTATGTTGAAATATTTTTTAGCAAAGGAAATACTCTTAAAGAATTACTAGATATATTTGAAAATTAGGCTTGCTGTTCAGATATGGCTGCAGGCTTGTATACAAAGCTACTCATGAATTGATATGCAATGTGGAAGTTACCATGACGCTTACTGTACTTTTAAAACTTCAGAATAGCTCAAGAAAAAGATTTCAGTATTTTGCACCTTGCTTTGCTGCCCATTTCTTAATTTACTGAGTAAATCTGACTTCTCCTTTTGATGCTTATCCACGATCATATTCCATGATGGGTGTATCCTTGTATATGTAGAGATTTTTGGTAAGCAGTAGCTGTGTGGAGTGTTTGTGTTCTGTGTCTGTTTGCTTCATGTTTAAGATATGAAAAAATGGTGTGTGTCTGGCCATTTTTTCCAACAACTTTCTTGGGAGAATCTGTCTTGGGAGGGAGATAAGTACTGGATTTAATGTCCTCTGTAGATTATACTGAAGATCCAGTGTCTCACTGCTTCACTGAAATCTGCGTTGCCAGGAATAAGTTCAGCTGGAACTCCAAGGAACAGGGAAGTGAGACTGGACTGCAGACAATGCTTGGAAAAAAAATATTGCCACTGAGAAACAGAGCATCACCTTGGACTCTGCTCTAAGATTCTCATAAACTGTATTGGGAAAGAAAATGCACCTCAGAATGAAAAGTAAAGATGCTTCCAAGCATTTTTATTCGTGGGAGAGGCATGAAGCTGTTTGGAATCTCTGTAGAGTACATGTTAGTCGTAAGAACTTCTTGATGTATATAAACAAACTCACTTTCTTGGCTGCATCGCAAAATCAGAAAACTTGGATAAATATTAATCTGTCCCCTGGGTGGCTTAGCCTGTCTCCAGATCTTCTGTGTTTTTTACTTT